TGCTGTCTGTGGCATGCAGTTCTGAAGATGGTGGCAGGGAAGGCTGCAGCTCTGGTGGAGGAGTGAAAGGTCAGCAGAGGTTTAAATGAGCTTGTCTTGCATCCAGCTGGGCCAGCAGGAGGTCATTAGGAAGATCCAAGGCTCACTTTAGGCTTGACAGAGTCTCTCCCCATGATACAAGGAGACCGTTTTGCTCATTGCTCTTCTCCCAGTGTATAAAAAGAACCCCGGGGACAAGAATGACACTGAAGTTTATCTTACTACCAAAGTTTTGCTTGAGGAGGGCACAACCAGCAATTACTCAGGAGGGGGAGTTACTTTGTTTGTTTGCTTTTGATGGAAAGTAATGGAGGTAAGTACAAAAGGCCTATTGATCTGCTGGCTCCATTGTGAAAGGGAACAGAGGAGCAGTGGGGAAACACCTCGTAAGGTTTGGAAGCCAGGGTACCTACACAACTCCACTTTATGGAGAATTCTGGGAACAGAGAAGAAAGCTTTGATCGGGCACAATGTAGGAAATGCAGCAGTTCTCTCTTAAGAGGCTCTTCTCTGAGGATTAACACACTATTTGACAGCTAATTACATTAGGACACATATACTAATAGTTCCCTTGAATTGGCGCTAAGTGGCTCATTTCTTGGAGGTACTGCCTGGTATTTATTGAAAAGCTCTGTCTAGAAAAGTTCCCTATAAGTTTCCAAACGTAGAGAATGATGGAAAAAATGGATGTTGCAATGCTGAGAAGGTGGTAACAGGAGGCAGGTAGCATTCCTTCACACCTTCACCTCTCTTGTTAATGTATGCAGTGGCTCATCAGGGTAGCTTATGTTAATTTATTCCTGCACACCTGTACAGGGCTGGAAGTCAGGTAATAAGATGAGCAAAAACTATACATCTCTTCTGTTTAGCTATGGCTACCCAGAGGCCTATACAAGAACAAATTTAGTTTTGGAGACATCAGCAGGTTTTAATAAACCAAATACAGATGTCTTACTCCATACAAATCAAGAAGTTTACATGTTTAAATCTGGACTGATATAACTAGCAATCAAAGAGAGGGTTCACACTTAGAATCAATGGCTGCCTCATATTTATTTATAAATCACCCGAGGCAGATATTATTTTGTTTTAAAATTTATTCATCTGGTTGAACCAACCTCCACACACCTTAAAGATCAAGAAGAGGTGCTTACTCCTGAAAAAATTCCAGACAAACTTTAGCAATTACTGTGAGATGGTAACAGATGGAGAGGAAGGGCAAAGTTCACAAGGATGACAAATACTTCTTACACAGACTATCTAGTTTCTGAGGGTTTTCATTTCAATTGATGGAGGTTTAAAATTCTCAATCACCAAAGCAAATACAAATAAAACAACATACTAGGAAATGATGAGGAAAGATAGGAAAATGGACAGATGTGGATTTATCTGTTGGTTTGCCCCACCCCACCTGAATAAAAAGCAAATGGACGTGTTTCTCTTATACACAGGTAAGTGGCCAGTGAACCATTCTAAGGATCAAATATTAAGTCAGAGGATAAGAAACTAGCACATGTAAACTAAGTTCTGCTGAGCATAACTGCCATGCTTTTATGAACACTGTAGCTCCAGGCCACTTGGTCAGAATGTCTTCACAGGGACTACATCTCATCTGTATAGTTCTACAATCCAGGCTCCTGTTTCCTGGCAGAACCATAGCTCAGCTATAGAAAAAGTCAAGGGATAAATAAGGAAGAAACCTGACAATCATCCCTGAGCATCAAAGCTCTTTACGGAGGAAATGATTTACATTTCACCCAGTCACTCAGAAAGAATAAAGGTCATTCTCACAGCTAGACAGTGATTAGGGGTATGAGTTGTGCACATTAGCTTGCTCTTTGTCACTAATGTAGCATGGTCCTCCTGACTTCTGAATGGATCAAACACATCATTGTTGACAACTACACATTGAGGGACGCCTTTGACAATGCTGCTGTCTATTGTCATCCCTGACAAAGCTTGCATGTGTGTGTCCTCTCACTGTTGAACCTAAACCGCAGGACTTAACGTCCTTCTATCTCCATCTTTCCCACATGCCTATCAGAGGACCCCAAATGCACTCCACTGTGTATACATACTCATGTTTAGAAGCTGCTTCCAACTCCTATAAAGCAACGCACTCCGGAGGACAAGGCATTGGTGCACAGAAGAAAGGAAGAAGCCCTATTAAGCTTTATTACTGGTGTCTAGGAGGTCTGCACACTTTTTCAACTATCATGGGAATAGTTTCCCCAATGGAATGTCCCCTCTGGTGCTTCATTTGTTCAAGGAAGAAACTGTGGAGTCAAGGATGGATGAAGCTAGGTCTCTTCAGAGTAGAAAGAAATGGAGGCAGGAGGAATAAAGACAAAGGAGAGCTTCTTGGAAAGGCCTGTTGGCTGAAGAAAAAGGTGAGAAAACTACTCATTGTTTTAATCCATCGCAGTTGATTAAAGGAAGAAATTAGGAGCACAGGCTCTCTGGAGTTTGAGTAGCAGTAAAAGAGAAGACCCGAAAAAGTAAGTCTAAGAGCAGACGGAGATGAGACCAGAGCATTTCTGCACGAAGAGACAAGCTGCAGGCTGACCCTCATGGACGGAACTTCAATTATGTTTCAAAGTTCACACTGCTAAGATTCAGGAAGAGGCTGAAAACTCAATGGCATCAGTTTCTTGTTATTTTGGTGGCAGTCTCACATCGCTATGTTAATTTAAGTCATCATGTCAACAGGATATTTTCCTTTGACAAAAAACAATAAATGCCAAACTTAATTGTTTTTTAGCCTGGGATCAAAAGATCTGTGTATTACTTAGAAAGCCAAATTTTAAGTAAGAATGAAAAATTCTCACTTTGTAGTATCTTTTTCAGTTAGCATTTTGTCATTTATTATATGATGGGACTCTGAAATGAGAAAGCATGGATACAGTGTACGATCTCATCCTTGAACAATGTGTCAGCTGTCTTTTGAAACAACGTATCTGTACTCTTACACTTAGGAGAACACTGGTCTAACTTCTGTGTGACTGGCATTAGCTAATCTCCCAAGTCCTTACAATGAAAATGGCAAGTAAAGTATCTTTTCTCTGTCAGTAAATATTTAGACTCAGACAAACAAATTCTGTTTCAATAGCACCTCCTTTTGTGTCAGGACACAGACAGAGTAGTACTTGTGTTTGCTAGTCACTGTTCATCACTAAAAGCACCAGGCTTGGATCCTGATCTTTAATATTTACTCCAGTGTTATGAATCGCGATGTTTTCAGCAAACTAAAATGTGAAAGGAATTCATACAAATAAGCTTAAGTGTTGGCTTGCCTTCAAACACTCCATTTTCATAAATATTTTATGAGTTTTCACAAATCTTTTATATTTGTTAAAAATTTTCAATGAAAATTTTTTTTCAGTGCATTAACCTTATCATCACTAATACACTGTCTGAAATCTGAAAGAATATTAGTATAAACTTGGAATGGGTGGTGAGAGTCCTAAAGTACAGGTATCTTATCTGACATTCCCTGGGCCTGTCAATGAGAGCTTGGGACTGATAACTGTAACACAAACCTCTAAGTTTTTAAATAGAACCAGAATAGTGGAAGTAGGAAGTCAGTCATTACAAAAAACAAAACAGAATTTGGTCCCTTCTGTGGCAGTAAAAAGAAGAACAATATGTATATTCATGAAAAATAGGATTGGTCTTTCATATCTGAAAATGTTTCAAAGACAGGTCACTGCACTGCAGTGATACTTTTTAAAAACCAGGACAGGGCTTCAGGGCACAGCCACACTGGGTCTAGCCGACTGTCCCCAGCAACTGCACGTGTTACGATCACAGCTGTACTGCCATGTTAGTCCCGTGCGCCTTCATTACCTTCTATTTTTGAAGACCTGTATTCAACTAATAAGCACTACAATAGGGTGCTAGGTCTTGGAACACTTCTTTAATTTCGTTTTTTTTAAATAGCATTTAAACTATTAAAGAAAATTTTATCTGAAAAAAGTTAATGTTGAACCAAAATGCACATCCCATGAAGCAGGAAACACCAGGTGATGTACGGTCTGAGTTGGGCTATGGTACTATGTGAAAGACTTGTTCAAAGGCCCATCCTCCGTAAGTGAGCTCTCTCTCGCTGTGCACCACCGAATGACCTCCTTGACATGCCATACATACCGCAATAGAATTAATAAACACCGGGGAAGGTTTAGGACCAGCTGCTGCTGCTTCAGTTTCATAACTGGAGAGTGCTGTCATATGAGGGCTGTCCATATTCTAACTGATCCTAAAGTATGTTCTTAGGCATGTCCCCCTCTGTGGTGAAGTTCCATGGTAGACTACATTGTAGAGGTGTGCTCAGAGACACTATGCAGTTGACAGAAAGAAACCCACACCACCATATGTGTCTTCCCATGTCAACAATTGCTTTGGCCTTATCATCTTTGATAGTTTCATGTAAGAAATGATAAAATTTCTGGTTATACCTACGGTGATGCAGGCTGTCTCGGTGTCCCGGACCTATGGTTCTTCCCAGCCATAAGTTTCTCTTTCTATACTGGATAAGTACGTGTATATGAGGATAGTATGTAGGTTTAGTTTAAAGGCCACAAGGCAAAGAAGAAATAGATATGTGTGTATAAATCTATATACACACACATATACCTATATATATGTGCGTGACAGGGCTGTGGCTTCTAAGAAAAAGTTCATGGGGAGGCAAGGAACCATGTACTATTACCTTATCTACCCCCAGATGCATGGAAACACACACGTACACAGACATACACAGAGAAAAATGGCGTGCGTTGCCAGGTGAGATGACGTGATTCCACATGCTTAACCATACCGAGCACTGACTGCACAGATCCTTCCTGAGCATGGCCGCTTAGTGGTTGCGTGGCCAGCGCGGACAGCCCTCACGGTGCGTCAGAGGCACCTGGCTTTTCGGTGCCCCCAGCCCCGTGGGGAGCAGCCAGTGAGGATTTACTGACCTGTCTCTGCTTCGGCGGGAGGGGAAGGCAGCGTTGCAGCCGGCCACGGTACACACATGCATCTCCTTTAAGTGGACGTTCCTGTAGTGCAGCTTCACACTGTAGGAGCTTTTGAAGCTCTTCTTGCACACGTAACAGATTTTGGGGTCTGGGCTGGAGCACAGGTCACCTTCGGGGGAGAACTTTGGAGGGCTTCCATAATTGAGGGACGACGTAAAACTTTCATGCAGGGCAGCCATGCTGGCTCCCCCGCCGTTGTAGAGTCCGTACTGGCTCATGTAAAACATGTCGTAGGTGGGGTCTGTGAACTCTTCCTTTACCTTGATGACGTCCTGGTGAGATGGCTCACTGTGGTTCTCGTCGGGCCTCTCACTGTTCATCAGGACTTTTTCGCTCACCTCACTATGGATGTGCTCATCCCCTTCCATGGATTCCTCACCCAGTTTAGGCTCTGAAGACTCAGACTCATTCTCGTAGTCCCGCTCTGGCTCCTGGTCCTCAGATGTCATGCTGTCAGCCCTTCTTATTTCAGTTCTAGAAATGCACCGGGTCCTATTATGCTTAGAAAAGTCCTTCACAGACATGCCTGGGCTCATCTCCTCTTGGGAATGACAATGATTGTCGTGGCTCATGTCATTGACCACAGTCCCACCATCATTAGGGTCATCATCTTCATCATCAAACTCGTCAGCTGTATCAATAATTTCCTTCTCGATTTTCACAGGCATGCTTGACTTCCTAGGCTTTTTCTTGGGTGCCAGGTCAGCACTGGGTTCATGAGTGCCCATCATCACTGCTGGCACTATTGGCTCAGACGGTGGAGGAGCGTGCTGCTCTATGCTACCACTGGTTGGAATGATGGGACTGGTTGGGAGGGAGGTTGGAGGACTCACCATTTCTCCTGGAGTAAGTAAACTTCTATAAAAAGGAGGGACTGGTTGTACAGTCTTTAGCCCAGAAAATACGAGCTGGCTAGGGAGAGGGTTCTGTAAGACAGGGTCTAGGGGAGGAGTGCTAAAACCCATCGGGGGCCGGCCAGGACTCGTGAGCGTGAGATTTGATTTTGTACTTGCTATGACCGGGGTGGCGGCTCCTGATGTTGCCCGAATTAAATCTTTGTCTCGGTTATTCCTTAGCATAGGCATGTGAAGGCGGGGGTTGGGGTTTGCACTGTGGCGATTCCGGCTCCGAAGGGAACTAAAGACCATGTTGCAACCTTCAATGGTACATCGGTGTTTAATCTTCAGGTGGACAGCATTATAGTGGATTTTCAGAGTACCTTTGTCATAGAATGTCTTCCCACAGGCATTACAGAATACCCTTCCTTTCCTTGAGGCTGACCCCATCCTTCTCATACGGTGAATCCGGAATGAACTTTTCGGGTGTTCAGTTTTGCTTAGATCACTGACTGGGGCAGAATTCTGAATGGGGGAGACACATGCTGGCTCGGTTTTGGGTTCCACATTAGTGATGCTGGTCAGGGCATTTCTATTGGGTGTCTGATCACTCTTATATGGTGTGGGAGATACCTCAGACTCACTGCTCTCATTATATTCATTCTGGGTTGAAATGCTCGGTTCCCGCAGCCTCAGTCCCGGCTGCTCTAAAAGCAGCCCGTTGGGAGGCAAACCTAACAGTGGGGCTGAGACGGGGTTTATATACTGGAATGGAAGCAGAAATGCAAGGCTGTTTGGTATGTTTTCAAAATGATGAATGCTAGAAGGATTGCTGTTCTCTAAGTGAGCAAGGAGGCTAGGACTCCTGGTGCGATTATTGCTCTCAATGAAAGTCCTTATATCCGAGTCTGTCTTTGAAGATGGCACGGCCACAGCCTGCCCTTCTTTCTCCTGAATTGCCATCAGCTCCACAATGGATTTTGTTTCCCCAAACCGCAGAAACTGCTGAAGGGTGATGATCTCCTCCTCTCGAGACATGATGGCCCAGCGGTCCAGTACTTTGCCAGCGGCGTCCTACAGGCCACATCAAAGAAACAACAAAGACAAATATAAAAACTTATTGATTGTGCATAATTATTCAATACATCCGAAGGTGTTCTGCCAGCCTATGAAACACAGAGAGCAAGAGTGGAAAACAGCATGCAAGCAGTGTTAATAAAAGTTAACACATGAAGAAAACTTTTCTGCCGTGCAAATGCAGCAATTACAGTCACAGTTATAGAAACAGATTGAGTTTAATAATGTCAAAGCAAACAAGATGCAGACCACTGGGGCTCTGTGAGCTAAAATGCCTTCAGTACTGCCATTTAAACAACAATGATCTATATACTATGCAACTATTTAGCATGCATTAGTATGAGATGTGAGCTCTTGCTGTGCAACTAGTATAAATGCAAAAAAAAAAATTGTACCCTAATCTTTGTTAAATAATGACACCACAGGAAAGAATTAAGTATAGCTCATGAAATGTACTTCTTTAACTCAAGCAGACATGACACGGGATTCAGTGATGAACACTCCTTATGTGTTATGTGTCTTTTGGAATTAAAAAAAAAATAAGTAAAATACATATCCCCCTCATAACTCCACCGCTACACTGCATATTGTCTTTTTCAAATGGCTGTATTTTGATGCTGGTTACGGGAAGGAAATTTCCTGAGGTAGAATAAAGGAATGATCGCTTGTGAAAGGCAACTTCCCTCTTCTGGAAAACTGGTTGTAATCCAGCCATTTAAAGTCTGAGGTACACTTAAAGTATATATAATTTTAAGATTGTGTTGTAAGGGACAGGAATAGATATTTGAAAAGTAAGCATGTGATGGCTTTTGATAGAATAAACATATAAAAAGTTGCCAGCATCCTCCTCTGATAGCAAAGGGCATCCACAGAGACTGCACATCAGCAATCATCAGACTATGTGTTGTTAAATATACATTAAAAAGCATTTCACACTTTCATTTTTGCTAGTAACTATGAGATTTGCCTGGAGGTAGGACTTGAGAATCTTGCAAGGTAAAGTCAGGCAATCCATTTCAGCATGGGCTGAGAGAAATCTACTCCAACAGTTAAATAATGACTGTGAATTTTTAAGGCATCATTTCTTTGGCCCACCAGAGTAAGGGATCTCTGCAGCGCCCTGTACATGACACTTGCTCCAACTCTGACCATCAGCTTAAGAAAGCAGAAAACTGTCTAGAAAAACAAAATGGTGCTGGGGGAGTTGGAGAAGTGGTTCAGCTGTAGAAAACTGGTTTGCATGTGCAGGGCTTTGGGTTCAGCACCAAGACAAACTTAACAATGACAATACTCCTATTAATTACAAAGAAAATCATCTTAACTTTACACTGGAGAAATCTAATAGACACTGCCTTGAGAGACTGATCAAAGATAAGGCAGTGGAGGAAGACGTATCTGTGCCTTGTACTCCTGACGGCAAGTGGTGATTGGGAGAGGCGGTCTTACCAACATTTTTCCTTTAACCCAATCATGAGAAAAGATCAGGAAAACCAAAGCTGTCTACACAACACTCCTCACTGTGTGAAGCTTGGCGATTTCTTTTTTGGAAAACAACAGTTACAGGGCAGGAGGGGTTAAGACATAATTGTTTGGTCCTAGGGATATTAGATCAGAAAAGACACATTAGTGGGAATACTAGCAAAATGTGCAAATGATCTGGATTTGAGAACAATACTATTATCAATCTCGATTCCCTCATTTCAACAACTGTGTCATGATCCCACAATATATTACTCTAGCAAAACAGGATGAGGATAAAGGAACTGTTGCTCTATTTTAAATTTTTTTTTTTTTTTTTTTTTACAATGGGAAAGCCCATCCTCTTCCCTCTGGACACTGTCATAGTCTGAATCATCAGAACTACTGTGCGTGAGTGGGTATACATCATTTATCTGAATTATTTTTTAAAAGCAGCTCTGATGGTTGTGCAGCATTCCTCGTATCAGTTTAGATGGTCAGCACGTGTAGATATCCATTCCTGCGGAAACTGCCAAAAACTTGTCCCTTCCTTCTTACATAGAAATAATTGCCTGAAAGATGAAATGCTCTCACAAACTCTCTGTTTGAAGTCAGTGTAGATTGCCAGGGGACACTGGTAACTTCGAAGAGTCTGAAGTGCTGCAACAGCCACTAGACCATGGTCCCAATATCTACTGATGTTACTAAGAGCCTTGTACTTGGAATGTGGGGAAGAGAAGGAAATGTTGGTGCTGTAGAAGTGCAAAAACAAAAGAGAAAAGTACACTGTGATTTTAAGTACATTATTTTATTGACAGCACCATCCCTGCTCCATGCCCCCATGATCACATCCAACAACATCCAACAACAAGGCTTTATCTAGAACTATGTGCTTCTTTCATTTATACCATTTCTTCTTGCTAACAACTGCCTCTTGGGATTGCTCATTTTTGTTAGGCTGCAGCCCAGCATGAGAAGCGGATTATCGTGTCTTTTCTTGGTTCTGCCCAGGCACCCTGAACCTACAGCTTAGGGCTACATACACACACAGATCATAGCCTATGAGCCACAGAAACCAGAGCAACCAATATAAACCATCGCCACCACATCCTCTCATGCCCCTCACCTTCCAATTTTTCTCTGCCCACAGTACACAGCCATCCCATGTGGCTTACTTTTTTCCTCCTGGCTGCCACAATGCCTGCTGCTTTTTCTAAAACCACTGCCTTTCAGAAGTCTGTTAGTTCTAGTTCAAAGCTACTTAATTTGGGTTAAAAAAAAATCCCGGCCAGAAGATTCAGATGTTTTCTAATAGTCCGAATCACAAAAGTTTTATCTGTTAAATTAAAATCAAGGTATAAAGAGTATAATATAATGTCTGCTAATGAATATTCTGGAGTTCAATGCCAGGTTACCCTCTGGGTATCAGCAATATGAAGACCTACAGAAGCTCTTTCCCAAAAAGTTTTCATTCATATCTGATCACAGTACCTAGTAACTATCACATTTTTAAGTGTAAAAACTGTGTGTCGGGCATTTAAGAAGTCTACAAGTTCCTTGCTGAGAACAGCTCAGTTTTAGTATATTTAGGATAAGCTGGTTGAAGGGAACAATAAACCATCAAAGGTAACAAGGAAAGCTTTTACAGAAACTCTGCAACAGAAGTGCACCCTGGCTAGGTCAGACATTCTCACTCAGTGGCCGAGACCGGAATGTTCTGTAATCCTTTACAACAGTGGTTCTCAACCTTCTTGATGCTGTGACCTTTAATATAGGTCTTCATGTTGCAGTGACCTCCAACCATAAAATTATTTTCATTGCTACTTCATAACTGTAATTTTGCAACTGTCGTGAATCGTGATGTAAATATCTGACATGCAGGATATCTGATATGTAATCCCCAAAAGGGCTGCAACCCACTGGCTGACTGAGAACCACTGATTTACAAGCACCAGTGTCAGCCTGAAGGCTCTGTAAACAAACAAACACTGTAAACGAACTTCAAGTGATTCAGCACAGCAATTCCCCATTTGGAAACTTTTAGGACAATTTGATTCTATCATATTAATTACAGGCGTGAGTTTTTCTTAGTAATTTATTTTTATTGTGCTTAAATATAAATTCAAGCTTGATTAGGGGAACTACCTTCACATTTGATAAGTGAAGATGAGCAAATAAACTTTATCAGGTGAACAGGAGCCATTAAAAAATTAGATGTTACCATGGAATGAGTACTACCAAAATAAAAATATAGACTTGGACTCTTGTAGTAGATCATGGCCACCACTGACAAATTCGTAGCAGGTCATTAATCTTCTAACATCTACATTAAGGTTTAAGTAGAAAACTGAGCTCCTAACTTTATCTCTAGTTGGTGAATCAATTCCTTTAGGCTTTTTCCATTTGTAGCCAGAGTTCAGCAGCCTCCAACCCATCAGACTGGGAAATGATTGTTTTCAAAATGATGATAATATAATTTGTACTGTTAGTTAAATGCAAGGTATGATTATAAGTACTGGTTTTCTGTAAATAACTGGCTATACTGTTAATTTAAAAAGCTGAGAAACAGCAAGTAGTCAAGCATTCAAAACCTGTTATCAGGCTCAGAAAAAGTCTAAAACAAATAAAATATGAACATTCAACCATGTTATATAAAACGACATCCTATTATGTCACTGGAACTATCATATTCCTTACAGAAATCTGTCTGTTCTTAACTAGCTGTGCAGTATTTTTGTTGTTTATTTATTTGTTTGTTTTTATGATGGGGACTAAACCCAGGGCATTGAGTGAACTAAGCGAGCACTCTACATCTGAAGTACATGCCCAGGCTAGAAGAGTGATTTTTAAACACTGTTTGTTTTTAGGTATCATGGTTTCAGTGGTTCACACTGATCCTCTATACAAGGCCTCTTAAAAGACTCGTGGTTTCCGGATAAAGTAGGAGGTTGGTTGGTTAATCTCGTTTGGGAAGATGGACAACCTAGAAGGAAGGTTGTCGTGAGACAGGAGAGACCAGCTGAGGGGTGTTGGGATGGGGTGCCAAGTGATCTCAAGGGCTCTCAGCAAGCCACCAACCAGGTCACAGTACAGAGGAAAGATAACTGTCCTCTTCCTGTTCATGGAAGGCTATGAACAACACTAAAGGCAGCACATATTGAACACATATTCACTCAGCACTATTTAAATGGTTAAGAGGTCAGCAATGCCGAGAAAGAAATCAGAAAAACAATCAAATCCACTGTAGTCTAAAAAAATATCATGAAAACGTCTAATGAAGGAAGTAAAAGATTTACAGAATACAAACTTTAAGACACTGAAGACATTCAAGAAGATATCGGGGATGGAAAGGTCTTCCATGTCCATAGCCTAGCAGGGATGAAGTTGTGAAAATGACCATCTTACCAAAAGCAATCTGCAGTTACTGCAATCCTCATCAAAATTTCAATGTCATTCTTTAAAGAAACTGAAAAACAATTTTTAAATTCATACGGAAGCACAAAAGACATGCATAACCACAGTAATCCCAAGCAATACAA